GTATTGTCCTCCATTGATTTGAGAGCGTGTATTTAGAGCCCATTTCTGTCTTGAGCCTCTGTTGCACGAGTCGGTATTGTCCTCCATTGATTTGAGAGCGTGTATTTAGAGCCCATTTCTGTCTTGAGCCTCTGTTGTACGAGTCGGTATTGTCCTACATTGATTTGAGAGTGTGAATTTAGAGCCCATTTCTGTCTTGAGCCTCTGTTGTACGAGTCGGTATTGTCCTCCATTGATTTGAGAGTGTGTATTTATAGCCCATTTCTGTCTTAAGCCTCTGTGGTACGACTTTTTCCACTTTTAATATTAACATTAGAAACTCCTTTCTTTCAGATGTTTGTCTTTTGGCTTTACATCGTTAAAAAATTTCTCTATAAATATTCGTTTTTGAAAGTAGCCATAATATATGTTTCTAGTTATCAGTTGAAACGTAGTGGCATTGGATTATCAAGTGTTAAACTTGTCACACGGCTCATGTTTGCATTTCGTTCTTATAAGATATGACTAATCCTCTGTATTAATCTACTTCACATAAAATAAATCGCAATAAGTATCAAGTTATCATTCATAAGTCATTGTTTAACGATTCACCTGTTATTTATTCATTTATCAAAAATACATTTTTCATTTCCTCTAAAACTTTCTCTGTATTAACAATTTTTTCAACAGCAAATATACAAATTTGTCTTGTTAATATAACGTTCAAACAACAAATAAATTCAACATAAGGTATTCTTCAATAAGATCATACTTATAGGTTTGAAATATTGCAAATGACTTCAAACCTATACAAATGTTGTCAAGTTTGATTTCATAACATTCATTTTATATTGCTTAGAATCAGTTAACATAAAAGACCAAAAAAAGTATAACATATTTTAGCTGTAATACGCATGAAGACAACGAGAATACGCTACCTTAATAAGAGTTATTTCCGCATGACTAAAGAATAATTTTACAGTTTGTCTATTCAGCAGAATTTCCGGCACAGCTGCTTTCACTCTTAATCTCAAGCATCACATATCAAGTAAACCCAGATTGTTCCTAACCAAAACTTCAGTAGCAATATAAAAACATAATTAAAACTAAAATGTTACTTTTTTGTTCAAAAGAGCGAAAATACATAAGACTCTTTGCTTGCTTCATAGAACAAGGTATTCGGGTTGTTGTTGAAATGCACTTTATCGTTGCTAATATTCGTCAGTAGTGAAATGCGTGTTAAGAAATGTACGAGTCAGCAAAGACATGAAAAATTATTACAGAGTTATGTTAAGTATGAAAAGCAGTTATGTTAAAAATACAAACTAAAAGTTTTGATAAAACATAAAATTAACTGAAGCAAACATTACATCACAAAAAAATAAAGCACTCCAAATTATGAAAAAAAATCATTAATCTGCCAAATGACTTTGCATGCGTGTTGACTGTAACTGTACATTTTTATTCTCATATATATATAACTTTCGTTGATATCTAATACAGGAATGTAAATCTCAAGAAAGTTTGTATTTTATTCTAAAAGTATCATGGAAATTATTTCATATAAAAGTTTTTTAAGCGATGCCTGAAAAATATTACACTACGAATAAAATAAGTGGTATACACTCCACGCTCAGTTTGTGGTCCAAGTTCCCATACAAACGTGGATAATTTGTAGCTGTTGAGTACAACTAGAATAGGTCTATTTATAACGTCACAAGGCTAAAATCAGAGGCTCAATTCCAGGTGGTAGACAGAGCGCAAATATCCCGTTGTGTAGCTATGAGCTAAAAACTGTTCGTTTCTTTGATATTAAACATAAACCTACACAATGGACTGTCTGTGCTGTACCCCTCACAGGTATCGAAACTCAGTTTTTAGCGTTATGAGCCTATAAACGTACCACTTAACAAAACCTGATGTAATTAGAATATTTAGATGTTAAGCTGCAGATTTTTCAAACCTGAGTCAACCTTACTAATTTAAAATGAGCCGAGCGTGGCCTTGTGGTTAACGTTCCAGGCTCCGGATCTGCAGGTCCAACGTTCCTGTTCCGTTGCCGCACAGAAATAAAATAGAATGTCCTCCGCTCATGGGGCAGCGGGTGCGTTATAAGAGTGATGGTCAAATCCCAATATTCTGACAGACAAGAGTATCCCGAGAGTTGGCGGTGGGTACTGTTGACTAGCTACCTTCCCTTTAGTCTATCAGGTCAAAATTAATGAGAAGAAAGAAAGAAACAAATTATTTTAACATTTTAAACTGTTTTCATCATAACATTGACCATAGTGACACTATAGAGCATAATTTCCTTCAATTTAAATCTTATGGATGAGCGCGAGGCCTAATGGTTGCTTTATATATGTCATTTTATTAACTTCTAAAGTCTGGTATTTAGCCAATTTTTTTTTTTTGCTTCTATATGATTTATACCAGAATAAACAAATTTATAAAACTTTCAACTAGTCTAGTTTCTTTGTTTTCTATGGATTATCTGAGTTTCATGCGCTGTATTCTTAAATATATAGTTTTCGTAGTAATATTTATAAACAAATATTAAAAATTCATAATGGTAGCGTGTAAGCTTCTGAGACACTAGGTTGCTGATGTATTTTTTATTAACAGCTAACAGTCCATAGGTATATATGTTGTGTAATAAAGTAGAAATATATTAATAATTCTTCGTGTTTTTCAAGCAGCTTTCAAGCTGGTCGATATTCAAAAACTGCTCATAACTTCATTATCTTACATGATTTGTGAGAAGAGGTGTGGATTATGAATGACAATGTTATATCAGCTTCTGAACTAAGATGGAGATACTGCTAGTGCTAGGTTTCCATGGGGACAGATGATACTGCGGAAAATTTTTAGAAGCATTAATAGAAGTTAGAAAAAAAGTAGTTTATAAGCCATTTTAAAACAATCCCTAATCAAAATCCATAGTTGTTGAAAGTTTCAGAAAACAACTAAGCAAAGCTATCCGACTAGTATTCGAAACCGAAGTGTGAATACAACTAGAAGTTAATTTTTATCTTTAATCATAACATAAAAAAGTTGGGTTATAGTATAATATTATTCGATATTGCAGATTTTAAGTCTAATTTTTAAAATCTACAGATTAATTTTGTCCCCCCCCCCAATATCTCAAAGGTAAGTCTGGGAGCTCACACTGCTAATAACTGGGTTTCAGAACTCTTAAGAGGAACAGCACAAATAACCCATGGTGTAGGTTTTTGTTCAATAACTAACAAACAAAGTTTTGTCTTTGTGGAGCATTGACACACTTGATATTCTTGAAGTTAGTATTTCAAGCATTAGAAAAGTAGAATAACTTATAGAAATAGACTCAATACTTTCTGAAGTTAACGTCGACATACAGATTCAATACTTTCTGAAGTTGACGTCGTCATACAAACTCAATACTTTCTGAAGTTGACATCGTCATACAAACTCAATACTTTCTGAAGTTAACAACGACATACAGTCTCAGTATTTTCTAAAGCTATTCTCGAAATATAGACTCAGTACTTTCTGGAGTTAGCGTCGAGAGACAGATTCAGTATCTTTCTTTTAAATTAGCGTAGAGAGACAGATTTACCTTTTTTTTATATTAGTATCAGTGTCAGATTTAGTACTTTATGAATTGATATCTTGGAAACGTTATAAAAATTCATCATTTTAAAATTACTTCTTAGGTTCTCGTTTTCGTCTGGGCAGATCATTAAGAAACACTGTACATATCTGAACGATTTTTTGCCTTAGTTTCATTTTCATTTGTTTTTCTATACGCATGTAATAAAACTTTGTTTTCTCTTTCTATTAGAACAGTCATAGTGGCCGCAGGACTATGGAAACCACATGCTCCCACGTTTGAGGGGTCTGAACATGTTATTGGATACGAGTCTATCTCTGTGAATCCGACCGAGTTTGAGGGTAAGACTGTACTGATATTAGGCCGGGGAAACTCGGCGTTTGAAACAGCCGATGCCATATATGGAAGGACAAACATGATTCATATGATCAGCCGATCGAGAGCACGCCTCTCGTGGAACACGCACTATGTGGGTGATCTCAGGTACGTTACTTTAAATTATGATGTGTAACAAATTATATTACCTAGTTGGCGTTATGCAGAAGGACTGGCATAGCCTGGTGATTAGGGGCCCTCGACTCACAATCTGCGGGTAGTGGATTCGAATCCATTTAGTCTATCACTTCAAAATTACGGACGGCTGGCGCAGAAAGCACTCGAGTAGCTTTGTGAGATATTTGAAACAAACAAACGTCAGGCAAGCACATCATACAGTTCTTATGTATGGTCACAGTGTTATATTATTTCGTGGATGACGTTAGGTTGGCCAAAGTGGTTTAGATATTATTGTAACGTAATTTTATGATTTTAGTTAAACATTTAAAAAACGTTTTATTTAACCTTTTTAAATAACTTATGGTTTATACTTACAGATATTGCATTCATATAGTATATATATATATTGCGTTGGTGCTTTATATATCGATTTAATCCTGACCTAAGTCAGCAAAATACTGGCTCTGTGACGTGCTATGGGATTTACGGTCGAAAACACTGTTAATAATGAGGGCACCGAACTGATAAATTAATGAAATCTATCAAATCTAGACTATATAATATATATACCTACCAATATGCATTATCATCATAAGGTATACCAAATTTAATTTTACTGCCAAATCCTTTAAAACTAAATTCATTAATTAATTTATACCTAACTTTGTAAATCTGGATACTTAATTTTAAGCTCATGTTACAATTAATTACATAAAATTTGTATGTATGTGTGTGAAATACATTTTCTGAAATGTAGTATGTATTCGCAGTATAACATGCAGTACTTACATTTCCAACAACTACTCGATTTCCTTATGATCAGGTTACATTTTCTTGTTACATGGAGGATGACAGGTACATCAGTTTCTGTATGTCATTTTTGATGCTCTCACAAACAGCTGACAACTGATTGATATTAAACTTGATTATATGTAATACAATCACTGTGATGTATGACAACGAATAATTATGTAAACTGTATCACTTACATCAGGCAAACCGTAAACATGTTTAAAATGTAGCATCAGAGTATTTTTTTATATACGATGTTATATTTCAAAGCGTTTCTATTAAACGTCGAACATAATATAATGCATTGTGTAATAAAACACAGTTTTACAGAGGGTTGAGGTTGCTATCTTAAAACTCTTTTGAATATGCAAATCAGCAAGTCACATGACAACCATAGCCGATATAAAAGTTGCATTACAATGGAACGGAATGTATCAGAACAACATTTTGACATTGTTTGGTGTTCAGAAGTATTGTGATGCCACCGAAAATTAATCGCTTATGGGAAGGGAAGACAACATCCCTTTCCGCCATGAAATAGTTATACAGTCAGGTCATAAACATATGTTCAATTCGGAGATTTAGAATTTACATGGCAGGAATTTCCCTTGTGCTAAATTGCATTTGAAAACAAAGTAATATGAGTCAACTTGAGGAACCAGGACCTTTCAGAACAAAACCTGCAACAAGGCGTACGCTAGCCATGGTAATAAAAGTGCGGTATCTTGTAGCAGGTAAGAACCCACGGACACAAAGATCAATGGCAAACGCCGTCCACGTGTCTCTCTCCAGTAACGGTACACAATATAATCAAGAAGGATCTATATCTGGAAACGAAGATACGAATCTACCAAGACTTTTAGCCATACCTCTCGTCAACTTTCACATACTTCAAGCACTTGGAGAATGAAATTGACATTTATGCTATTCTATACGAAAGGTTAATGAAAGTGTTCCAAAGCGCGACATTAATTTCTTGACAATCTAATATATTTCAAACTTGTTCTTAAGGTCCGTATTAAAAAAAACTAACCGTTTATCCGTGTACTTCTCTTTGTGAACGTATAAGCATAAATTTTTTACATTAATGTAACTTTCGATCACCTCTAACCAAAATTCATCAAATATTAAGGTTATTATGCAAAGGTTAAGAATATCAAGTCTACAGTTGTACTTATTTTCTGCAATAGGCCATTTATTTAGCAGTTTATGAGTTTGATATCGTAGAATGAAACGAAGATATATTTCCAGGGACAATGGTACCTTAAAGTATAGAGTCACTTGATCCGTATACATCGCGTGGCTTTCTAGATTAGTTGTTTACTTAGATATTAGAAGCTGATGCTTGTATGATACATATGGGTGTTTCAATCAGTGGTATTAATAACACGTGAGGAAGATTTTCAAATATCAAATCTATCTAAAGTACTCAGATATTACATTGATATTATATTATCTAAACAAGCATTTACTAACAATGTATATTTAACACGATCTATCCATCAATACAAAGAAATAAATATTCGGTTTATATTTACATCATGCGGTAATAAAGCCGATTATGTGATTTTCATAAACTCTCATGAATAGCATAAAAAAGTAAAACTTTCATAACTTCATTCTAAAAACACATAAATATATTATTGATATTGTATTAGATAGTAAAATAAACTCTTGTCTTAAATTAATTTATAACTACCAAATATCCATTCAATCATCTGATCAAAGGTATTTTTTTTAATTATGAACTAATAATAAAAACATTCCAAAGATGCATATAAAGAGTTGTTTCATAGATATAGTATAATAATGTAGTGCAACACCTTGCAAGTAAATAAACTTATAATATATATTGGAAATGATTAACTGGTCTTTATAATAACAATTTACATATGCTAATTTAATGACATGTCGACGTAGGTGCGAGCCATGACGTCAATGCATCTATGTATTTGATTCACGACGAATTCTCAACCATTCGACATTCAATGCTTTCGCGGATAGACTTACAGCTGAAGGATAACGTAACAACCCTTTTCTAAAAAGGATAACGAGATTGTTAAATGACGTAGTGCAAATGGACGAAACATTTCGAAGAAGAGATCTTTCAATGTTTTCCATGCAGGCAAAAAAAAAGAAGAAAAGTGTACAGAAAGGCGTCGGGGACAGTTTCTGGGGCCACATCTTACCTGCAAAATGAAGGCTTTGTTACAAATATCCCCAATTCACAAAGCAATTTCGATTAAACTGGACGCAACTCCTATTACTGCTAACAAGATAATTTAGGATTTAAAGCTAATGAAGACTCACAAGCTACCAGCCACACCTAGAGCTTAGTGCTTGTTTTCGTTAGAAAGATGACCGAAGAAACTGGGATCACGTTAATCCCATAAACCTATCAAATGCTGCTCCTGTGGAGGGCTGTAGAAAGTCTGTCAAAATATGTGGTCTATATAAGTTTGACTTCGGAAAAAATTATTGCAATGAAAATTATGTGTCAAACAATAGTGCATAGGTATGGCCATCAGACTGATCACAGTCGATGATGGAAGAAGTAGTTCCAAGAAAAGAGAAGCATGATTAAAAATTAGTACAATAAGTATGGCCATCAGACTGATCACAGTCGATGATGGAAGAAGTAGTTCCAAAGGAAGAGAAGCGCGATTAAAAATTAGTACAATAAGTATAGCCATCAGACTGATCACAGTCGATGATGGAAGAAGTAGTTCCAAGAGAAGAGAAGGGCGATTGAAAATTAGTACAATAAGTATGGCCATCAGACTGATCACAGTCGATGATGGAAGAAGTAGTTCCAAAGGAAGAGAAGCGCGATTAAAAATTAGTACAATAAGTATGGCCATCAGACTGATCACAGTCGATGATGGAAGAAGTAGTTCCAAGAGAAGAGAAGCGCGATTAAAAATTAGTAGAAATAAAATTTAAAATCTCAATTCATTGTTTTATTGAGCTGCACTCTGTTTAGATGACCAATTGTACTTTCAGTGGTTCTAAATTAACTTTATTTTACTACACTTAATATTATGTTTTGTTTTTTGTTTGTTTTTGTTTATGCACAAAGCTACACAAGGGCTATCTGTGCTCTGCCCACCACGAGTATCGAAACCCGAATTCTAGCGTTGTAAGTCCGCAGACATACCGCTTTGCCACTAGGGGGCCTTAATATTATGTTTTAATTTACTTCTATTAGTAATATTCAACGAAAAAAACTGTTGTTTACATCGTTTATGCGTAGGTAGATATGCATACACATGTTTATTATGAATAAAGTTGTTTTCAGCGACTCCTCAGAGACATGCTGGACATAATGACCAACATCGAAAATAGGTAGCCTAATATTCGTTATGGAAATCAGATGGTTTTTGTAAATCTTCTTGATTAATTTTTTTGGGGATTTCAAATCAGTGGCATGTAAACATTTATCTTTCCTCTGCCAGACTTCGCTGCTCATGAGGCCTTTCGTTCAATACCATATCAAAATCAGTTGAGTTGGCTAAACGCCTTAACTTTAAACCTGGTACATGAAATAACTGTTTTTTTATAACTCTACTATTTTCATTTTAGGTTGGCATACAAGAAAACTTACTTTAAATAAAAAGTCATAACTCATGTTTTCTTAGATGAAGTTGATACTAATCCAAGACGATCTTCATATTACTCTAACGAGCGCTGTTTTTGTGAACCACCTGACACAATTTTCGCTAAAAATCACTTTACATGTTTTCATTTATATTTAACGTTTGAAGGAAGGTGCAATTCACATTTTATTTAAAATTAACAACTAACTTCGATTCGCAATACAAAAAAGCGCATTTGAGGAAATAAGCTTAGAAGAAAACACCGTAACAACAAAACAATTCAAACACTAACTTAATTAAATGCCCAAAACAATAAACTTAACATAATATGCAATTTTTAATTATGGAGACTTCTGGACTTTATGTTACTGATTTTCAATGCCCTTGCTAATATTCTATTTTATAATAGAGAAATTAATCAGTGTTTCTAAAAGATACATGTCATACAACTTTGTTGTTACAAACCGTCTTTTATAAAGTAATTAATAATAAGTATAAAATCTTTATTATTAACGATACATATATAAACACACATATAAAGTTAATAACCTAATCCCTAACTTGTGTGCATATTAATCCGTGTGTTATTATTATTATTCA